GGAGGAAGAAGAAGGAAAGAACGTGGAGAGGGGAGGGAGGTGGGGCCAGGAAGGAGCGGGGATTGGGAGGACCGAGGGGGGATGAGCAGCAGGTGGAAGAGGATGCGCAGCAGTAGGAGCGATGAGGAGGAGCCGACGGGAGGGACGGGGAGGGGGGTGGTAGCGGGAAGGAGGAGGAGGAGGGCTACAGAGGAGGGGCATGAGGAGTTCAAGGAGCGGGTCTCTGCAGCAATGACCCCGCGCCGCAGGAGTTCTGCACAATCGTCCACGACCCTGACTGGGAGCAGTTTCCCGAGGTGCTTCTGCCCCTCGCGCCGTCCATCTTTCCCCGGGGGGCCTGAACCGTTCGGCTGGGCAGCAAACGGGTTTGCCGTATTCTGCGACTCCAGATTTTCCAGATCCACAGCGCATCTATTCATCCGGTGGATTCTGGCGGGCACTTGCGGATCGGCATCATCAACATTGATGCGAATCCCGGGGAACGCGACGTTGGCACAGTGAAATCTATCCGGACCGCAGTTCGTGACAAGACACATCCCAAGCACGCTGAGTTTTAACGAGTCGTCTCCAGTTTATGAATGCACAGCCATGTTTGTTCATGAAGCGTCTGGTCGAGGGGACATTGTGGAGTGATGAGGATGCGTAGGCAGGAATCGTGAGGCCAGAGTTAGGAAGATCGAAGCCGTATTTTCCTGTCGGTACTACGCTTGCATATCGGCTTCGAGATGAGTTTACACACTCTTCGGTCAATTGAGCTCGTGACCATGGGCCCCAAACATGTAGTTTGTCCTTTTCGCGCCGGTTTGTTCCTGACTGTCTACAGTGAATCGCGCCTCCGTCCCAAAGCGCACCATCCTGTGTTGTGGCACTTCGAGCTGTCTCTTTTCATCGATGGGAGCTCTCACGGGGGCTACTTGGGCCGTCTTCGGGCTGTCGGAAGTTTCCGTGGAGCTGCCTTTTGGGCATCTCTTGGGCATTGTTCGGGCCGTCTTGGGCGGTCTCGAGGTGCGTGGGCCATCTTGATGCTCGAACAGGGCAGCGCGGGAGTGGCTGGAACCACGGGCTGCATCAACGCCGAGGATCGCCAGTGCTATAACACAGTCGACGTTGCGACGTACGTTAGCTCATCAGCCTTGGTTTGGCTTTCCATTTGTTGTTCCGTCTGTTGTTGCAGATCTGGCCACGCCTGCATGGTGTAGTGATCAGTATGACGAGTTGGATACACGTGCGATATTTGCTCAGATCGGCGGTGTCTTTTTGTTGTCTGTTATATATTCCATCTCTTCATTTAATCCCCATGGCCTCTTGGGGGGCTTTCGGGGGCCTCTTGGGGCGGGAGGGGGGGGGGGGGTAGTCGGTTGCGGCTCCCCCCTCGGAGGCCACGATCCTCGTGAGGGGTGACTAAAAATGTCCCTCCCCTGGAATGCTCTGGGGGCTTCTCCCGGGCGTCTGCCGGGTACTTTCCTTCCGGGGGCCCCCAGGGGCCGCTCCGCGCGCGCAAATTAGAAATATGGTTAACCAGTTACTGGAGATCTTAGCACGCCTCTGGCCCGTTGGGCCGGCGAATTGTTTTCTGTTGTATATGTCATCTCTTTATTTTCGGCTGGGCCAAGTTCGTGTATGGAAAGCTTGGTTCTTGTGGGGTAGATAGTTAGTACAGTCGGCCCAGATTAGCAGGTCGACCCTGTCAGATCAAGGGTACCCTTGTGTCCTGTGTCTCGCGACCCGTGCCTTTTTACACTCCTACGGCGATGTGGCCTTGGGAAGGGTCTTGTGTCCTCTCGCGTGTCCTCTCCAATCAAGTGCGACTGTACGTGGTGGTCTTCGGCCTATCCCGTCACCGTGCCAGGCTCGTGGGCCAGAGGCGTGCTTGATGCCTCTCGGGGGTCTCGGGGGACGCCACTCGAGGCCTCTCCGACGTCCCTCGGGGGGCCGCTTGGACACCTCTTTCGGGCCTCCTGGGGCCTTGGTGGGGCGTCTTGGGGGCCTCTGGGGGCTTCACGGGCAGGAGGAGCAGGCGGAGAAGGAGGAGGGAGACAGGAGGAGGAGGAGAAGGAGGAGGAGAAGGACGAGGACGAGGAGGAGGAGGATGAGGAGGAGGAGGAGGGCGACACTGACGAGGACGAGGGCGAGGACGAGGAGCAGGAGGAGGAGGATGCGGAAGAGGGGAAGGCGCGCTCGCGTCCGACGCGGGCAGCCAGGCGGCCGGGGTCGGCCGGCGAGTAAGGGGGGCAGGAGGGGAGCGGCGATGGGTCTGTTTTCCACCACCACCACCATAAGTTGGAGGGGGAGGGGGTCCTCCTCCTCCTCCTCCTCCTTCTGCTCCTCCTCCTCCTCGTCCTCCACATCCTCCTCCTCGTCCTCCACATCCTCCCCCTTCCAACTTATGGTGGTGGTGGTGGAAAGCAGGCCCATCAAGCTGGGAGGGGGGATGCAGGGAGTCAAGCAGTGGCGAAGCGTCCTGGCTCGCCTGTAGGCCCACCAGAGAATGTTCTGAGAACCTTTTGTGGTCTGCGCGAGATGTTCTCAGAACATCTCAGTTCTCAGAAGAGACCCTTTTGTAGTCTGCGCGAGATGTTCTCAGAACGTCTCTGTTCTCAGAACTCTTCTGGCTGGGTCTGTCTTCATTCAGCACATCGGGTCTATCTTCTAAGAACATTGCTTCTGTTCTTAGGACGTTTTCGGGTTCTAAGGGTAGGCCTAAGGAATGCCGGGACGGTCGGTCCCTGCTCAATGAAGGGGCGGGGGGATGCGCCCTGAAGTCTCCCAGGGCCTCCGGAGATCTCCAGAAGAGGCCAAAGGCGCAGAGCACCTCTGCCTCCAAGCCTCGCGGAGCGAGGCGCGAGGCGCGAGGCGCGAGGAGCGATGAGCGAGGAGGAGGAGGAGAAGGCAGGAGTAGGAGGAGGAGAATGAGAAGGAGGATGAGGAGGACCAGTGTAAACCCAAGACTCATCCACGATGTTCGAATACACCCTCCCTGCAAGCTCCCTCTTCAGTGGTCCCTACACAGCGTCATTTCAACCCAGGGAAGTGCCTTGTTGGGCGACAACCGTGTGATATTCCTGAAGCGTGCCAAAACACCATTCTCATGGCTTCAACGCCACGGGTCTACCTGACGTTGCGTCTTGACGATGCTGAATCGTGCCAGAGCACCATTCCTGGGATTCTCACACCGCGAGTCAACCTGATATGTTGCGCCCCGACGAACCTACACCGCTCCGGGACAATATCGCTGGTACGTTGACCATGCGAGTCCGTGGCACTCTTTGCACATGCTTGAAAATGATGTGCGCGGCGCTAAGGCGAGAGCCACACTTTGACATTTGACAAGGAGCCGCCCTCGGTCCGTGAAGCTCTTGCAGCTTGCTCCAGACGGACGTGCGCGGCGCTCGAGCGAGAGCCATACTTCGAGAACGAGCCGCCCTCCATCCGCGAACCTCCTGCACACTGTTGAAAACGAGTCCGCGCGGCGCTGAGGCGAGAGCCACACGCCGAAAACGAACCGCCCTCAATCCCTGATTCCTTTCTGCGTTGTTTTCAGGCGACTCAGACGAATGTGTGCGATGCTACGACGAGGGCCGCATTCTGAAAACCACCCGCCCTCCATCCGTGAAGCTGTAGGCGCAATGCACGGCCAGCCCTTGTGAGTGGGGGGCGACAGGGAGGCCTTATTCGTAAGGAAAAGGAAAGGAGCAGGAGGAGGAGGAGGGGGAGGAGGAGGAGGAGCAGGAGGAGGAGCGGGAGGAGGAGGAGCAGGAAGAGGAGGAGGAGGAGCATGAGGAGGCGGATGAGGAGGAGGAAGAGGAGGAGCAAGGGGGAGGGTGAGCAAGAGAGGGTTGCCATGGCTTCGCCCCCAGGTGGCCAAGGCGTTGCAGGAGGGCGGCGGCCCAAAGGAGCCAGTCGTGCGGCCAATGCTGCCAGCGCGAGTTGATGATGGCGGAGGGGTTATTGATAAGGGAAAGGAGTGGAGGAGGAGGAGGAGGAGGAGGAGGAGGAGGAGGAGGAGGTGGTGAGGGGGTGGAGCAGGAGGACGGGGATGATGATGATAATGATGGTGATGATGCTGCTTCTGCTGATGTTGCTGCTGATGATGCTGATGCTGATGAAGACGAAGACGATAACGCCCATGATGATGCTGACGACGATGATGATGATGCTGATACTGATGATGATGCTGATGAGGAGCTTGCTGATGATGGTGACGATGATGCTGCTGTTGATGATGGCGGCGATGATAATGCTGTTGCTGATGTTGATGTTGACGTTGATGCTGATGACGTGAATGACGATGGTTCTGATACGGATGGTTATGCTAGTGATGATGGTGATGCAGATGCTTACGGTGTTGATGATGCGGATGCTGATGATGCTGATGATGATGACGGCGATGATGATGATGATGATGATGATGATGATGATGATGATGATGATGATGCTGATGATGATGATGCTGCTGATGCTGATGTTATTGATGATGGTGACGATGCTGATGCTGTTGTTGATGATGATGATGATGCTGATGATTATGCTGATAATGCTGATGATGATGCTGCTGATGATGATGATGATGATGCTGACGATGGTGATTATGCTGATACGTATGCTGCTGCTGATGATGATGATGATGATGATGATGATGATGATGATGATGATGATGATGATGATGATGATGATGATGATGATTAGGATGATGATGCGATCGAGGAGGTGGACGAGGAGACAGCAGCTGTGGATGCCGATGATGCTGTTGATGCACGTGACAATTATGACGATGATGACGACGACGATGATGCTGATGATGATCATCATGATGACGATGCTGCCGCCCCGGAACCCTTCCAACAACCTCCCAAGTTCCCCCCTCCCCGGGATCCGGGGGGGAAAACCCTCTACCCCCTTCCCGATTCGTTTTTTTTTCTGGGGTGTCCCAGGGGGGGTCCAGGGAACTCCCACACCGGTCTGCCTGGGGGTCGTCTTGGAGGTCTCTGAGGCCGTTTTGACGCCGTCTTGATGCTGTCTTCGGGGCCCCTTGGGCCGTCTCCGGGTCCGTTTAGGCCGTCTTGCAGGCCGTTTGGGCCTTCTTGAGGCGATCTTGGCAGTCGATGGGGTCGTCTTGGGACATCGAAAGCACCGAAAAGGCGAGACTACTAAAATCATTGAAACATCTAGGGGCCATCAATGACTTTGGCCTCCTGAAGGCTCTCTTCGAGCTCTCTTGGGACGTCTTGGGGCCCAATTCGGCCATCTCGAAGGCATCTTGAGATCCATTGAGGCCATCTTGCGCGTCTTGGAAGCATCTTGGGATCGAGAGATAGGAGAGCGGTCGAGGGAGAAGAGGATGGGAGGTAGGGACACGCACATACGGACACACACACACACATGCAGATATATACATTTATGAATATACAATAGTAGATATACACACGTATATGTGTTTATACACATGTAGATATAGATGCCTCAGCTTGCGGGGGAGCCCCTTCCAGTTCTCAAGGAGTGCCGACGTTACTCTTCGTAGCCCGAATGCTTTTCTCAATGGGCTCTTCTTCCAGGAAATGTGCCACTTCCGAAAGTTTCCCATGTTGCCGTCGGAGGCTTCTGTCAAAGACAACTGTTTTGCTTGTATACACTGGGCTGGATGCCGCGCGAGTTTGCGTCTTGTTCCTAGTGTTCTCGTTTTGTTCTACGCTCTCATTAATTCTGTTTCTTTTTGCCTACACGTGTCCCCCCTCATGCGGTCCTGCGGCTGATGCTGCACCTTCTCCTCTTCATCGCCCTCCTCATCTTCCTCACCGTCCCAGGAGTGCCTCGCGGTTGCCACCTGCCCGAACGCGAGCAAGTGGGCCGTCGGCATAGCTGCTGGCTGGAAGAACCGGTGGGGCAGTGGGCGAGGGCGCAGGAGTAGGGGGAGGAGGAGGAGGAGGAGGAGGAGGAGGAGGAGGAGGAGGAGGAGGAGGGAATGTTATCAAAGCGGACAATTTTTTCCACGCCGACGTCGCCGATGCACTGCCGACGTCGCCAGTGCATCGCCGATGCATCGGCGATGCATCGCCGATGGCGGTGCGGCGAGATCCTCCGATCCCATCTACTCGGACCCCATCTATGAGGCCTCTAGTTCCGGGGGGGCTGACTGGGTAGCAAATCATGGGAGCCTGGTCGGTATACCCTCTCAATGCAGTCGTTCGCGGTGGCTCGCATCGATGAGCGTCTGAGAGGCGATGAGATAGCGCCGATTTAGCGTCGGTGAGTGTTGATTTAGAGTCGATTCGCCGCGACTGGCGTCGATTAGCGTCGATTCGCAAGGGCCGACAAGAGGCTAATCATGAGAGGCTCCCATGTGTTGCCACCGAAGGCTGATGAGGTTTTTTTATATCCTGGCGCATAGCGGTCGTTGCCCTGGCCAATTGTTTCGGGGGCGGCAAAGAGGGGGGAATGACCAGGGGGGGGGATATCCTGGCGGGGGCCATGATATCTCCCCAGATTTCATGGCGCCCCTTATTATTCCAATACGTACTCGGCCCCCCCCCCCCGCCATGGGCCGCGCACGTGCCGCCAGCCATGATTTGCGCCCCCTCCTTTTGGACCCCCCCCCCTCGTGGCCGCCCCCGATTTTTGGCGTGGGGGTCCAGACACGGTGCGGTGCATGGGCGCCGTGCTCGTATGTCTGGCTGGGGTCGGAGATGTCGGGGGCGGCAAAGAGGGGGGTGATGACTTGTGGGGGGGGGCGGGGATCACCTGGCGGGGGCCATGATATTTCCAGGAATTCATGGCGCCTGCTCTTGTTGCATCACGTCCCTGGCCCCCCCCCGGGGCCGCGCACGTGCCGCCGGCCACGATTTGCGTCCCCCCTCTTGCAGGCCCCCCTCTTGGCCGCCCCCCGAAGATGGCCCAGCATGGATTCTGGCCAGCATGGGGGGGGGGGAGGTTCGAGGCTTTGGGTCCGAGGAGGTCTTTCCTTGCCCCTGTCGACCTCGGGGGGCCCTTTTGTTCGGGCCCCGTGGGACAGTCAGACGCGGATCCGCGGTGAACAATGGCACCAGATGGGCCCCGGGCAGGGTCCGGGTATGTATTCTGATCGGTTGTGGCCTTGTCCCCCAGTCTTGGTCCGATTTTCTCATGGCCCACTCAGCTCAGACCCCCTGGCGGCCTCCATGGCCAAACTCCTCCGCCCGCCCCGCCCCCGGTGACAGAACGATCGTACGCATGGGGGGAGGGGCCTGGACATGCTGGTGCTCGCGCGCGCGTACCATCGCGACCGCAGCGCACTCTCCCGCCCTGGCGTGCCCCACCCCGCTCAAGCGTTGCCCTCATCCGGCTCCCCCTCCCCTTCTCCGGAGTTGCTAGGGGTGCCCTCGGCCCAGTGTGCCCCGCAGGATTTCCAAGGAGGCCCCCAGGGCCTCCAGAGCACCCCTCACGAGGCTCAGAGGGTCCCAGGGGCTCAAAAAGTTGAGCGAAAAACTGGAGGTAGTTACCTTGGGCCAGGGGCAACCCTCGACCTTCTGGGTAACGATCGTTGCCGGGAACAAAACACGCCGGTCGTTGAAGTAGGTATTTTGAGATCCCCTGATCCCAACATACTTTAGGCGCCTTCCTACTTCAAGAGTCTGGCGGTGTCCCCCCTTCCCTCCTGTTCAGAGGGCGGGCGGACGCCCAATCTATCTTCACTGCCTTCATTCTGCATGTTTCTACCCCTTACTTCGACCGACGGGTGGACAATCTCGATTCAAGTGGCTTAAGCCGTGCCGCCGACCCCCACGAGGAGTCAGCGTCCGAGACGACCGTGGGAAGCTGCATCCTGGGCCAGGAGCCTCCTGGATGAATCTGAGGGTCTTTTGGGATGCCCCTCTCACCACCCACCAAACCGCCCCAACCCAACCCGAAGTCCTCCGTTTGCCCTCGATTTCCAGTGGGGGGCGGCCAGGGAACATTGACAAACCACATGTGGAACCCGTACCCCCCCCCAACCCGAAAGTCGGATCTTCGGGTTGGGTTGGGGTGGTCTGGTGGGTAGTCACTCTGAGCCTCCTGGAGAACTATTGCGGTCGTGTGGTCAAGGGAACCCGTACCCCCCCCAACCCGAAATTCGGATCTTCGGGTTGGGTTGGGGTGGTCTGGTGGGTAGTCACTCTGAGCCTCCAGGAGAACTCTCGGGCCGGACGAAAGGGGGGGATTGGGAAAGGGGGGGTTACGATATTTGCTGCATGCAGCTGGTTTCGGCCCCACCGAGAGGCCCATTCCTCGATACATAGCCGCCTCCGGCGCCGGGAGGCGCCGGGGAAATCAGCCACGTGAACCCGAAACTCTCGGGGGCACGTGCTCAACGATCTCGATCCTCTCGGCGTCGGGGTTCCTCTGGCCCGGGGCCGCGGGCACGGCTGCTCCTCCGTCCCCTCCTCGCCCCGCCCGGAGGAGGAGGAGGAGGGGGAGGAGGGTGAGGAGGGGGAGGGGGAGGGGGAGGAGGAGGGGGAGGAGGAGGGGGAGGAGGAGGAGGAGGAGGAGGAGGAGGAGGAGGAGGAGGAGGAGGAGGAGGAGGAGGAGGAGGGCACTCCCCGCCAAGGAGTGCACACGCACACCCTGGAGGCCTGCCGAGGTCTCTGGAGGCCTCCGGGCCCAAGAGAGAAGGCGGGGAGCACCGCCAGACCTTCGAGTAGGAGATCGACGACAGGATTGATCTACACCTTAGGCGATGCTTAAGAACACCTAAAGTTTTCGGCCAGAGTCTCGATTATTCTTAACTTTTCAATGGACATCCTAAGATTTTAATGGACATGTTTGGTTTTTTTTATTCAAGTTCTGAGACTATGAATTTCTTAACCCATGATTTCTTAAGCATTTCGCAGGGTGTACTTCCGAATCAAACCTGTCATCGAATCCACGAGGTATGCGTATCATGTTCGCAGATGTACGAAACTCGTATTTTTCTTCGTAGAACTGCTACATGCTCAATTGTGAGGTGACTCCATTCTGCAGTCGATCTATTACTCGAGACCTCGATGAGTGTCCTCCTTCCCAGCAGACTCAGCCACGCGCAAACGGGGAAGGGGTATCAGGAGCGAACGAACGACGTACACATATATGAACCTACGCAGGTTTCGAAAGCGCGCATTGCGCGAGCGTTCGTATCACGAGGCTGTTCTCGCGGACTGGGGGGCCGTGTTCATTCATGCACGTGGTTGGGCGCGTACGTCTTTTGTGGGCTCCCCAGTGGAAGGGGGGTAGGGGGATGGGGGAAGGCTTTTTTGGAAGCACCCCTCCTGATTCTGAGAAGGCGCGGGCCTTACCCCCAGGTCTAAGCCCGGCGCCTTCTGAGGAGCGGCCTCCTTCCCAGAAGCCTTGCCCCCCCTCCCCCCCCCTACCTCGTGTGCGCGCCGCCAGCAGACGGTGCTTGCACTGGGGGGCCTCCTTCGTCCTCGTAGGGGATCGGTTGGGCCTCGCGAGGATGTCCTGCGTGGCCGCCTGTGGCCGCCCCGCTGCCGCCTCGGGCGCCGGGCGGGTCCGGCGAGGTCTCGCCCTGCTGCCGCCGTTTTGCCGCCTCCTCTGCCGCCCCTTGGAGCCGAAGGGCCGGGCGGCCGCCTCGCTGCCGCCTCGTGCGCTGGGAGGTTTCGCCACGGCTGCCGCCTCGTGGCCGCCTCGTGCGCGGGCTGGGCCTGGCAAGGTCTCGCCACGTCGCCGCCTTGTTGCCGCCTTGTTGCCGCCTCGTTGCCGGCCCGTGCGCTGGGTGGGTCCTGCAAGTGCTCGCCACGCTGCCGCCTCGTCGGCGCCCGCTTCTGCCTCGTCGCAGCCTCGTGCGCTGGGTGCGTTCAGCGAGGTTTCGCCACACGGCCGCCCGTTGCTGCTCTGTTGCCGCCTTCAGCGTGCACAGCGTTGCAGCACCGCATAGCTTACACCACATCTTGCACATGCACAGTGCAATACCCTCCTGTTTGGGGCCCACGCTGGCTGACACTGAGATTCGTAGCACGGTGATTGCGGTTGACGCCTCGCGAGTCCCCGCCAGCCCTCCAGAAGCCCTGCCCACGAGAGCTGACGGGAGACGGACAGCAGAGTCGCATATAGTGAAACAGAGCGGTCAAAAAGAGGAGGGGGAGGAACGTGTGGGGCCATGCTGGAGGTTATCTTGGAGCATCCGACGCTTTCTTGGAGGTATGTTTTTTTGGGGGGCGGTGTCTTGGGATCCTCTTGGGGCTCTTTTGGGGTACCTCGGGGCCCTCTTGGGGCTCTTTGGGGGGTGTTAGGGTCCCCATTGGGGCTCTTTTGTGGCGTCTTGGGGTCCTCTTGGGGCCCCTGTTGGGGCCCTCTTGGGGCTCTCCTGGGGCTCTCCTGGGAGCTTCGGGGGGCCTCCTGGGGCCGTCTTGGAGGCCATCGATCTAAGGAGGGGGGGGTCCTAAATTCGCCCCCCCCTCCCGGGCCCCTCCCGGGCCTCTTGAGGCCTCACAGCGCATCGGAAGCGAACAGACAAGAAGGCCAAAACTGATTGGTTTCCCCCAGGTTTGTGAAGGATGTTGGCTTCTCGGGGAGGTCCTGAGGGGTCTCCAAAAGCACTTGGATCCGTTTTGTGGCCCTCTTGGGGCCTCTTGGGGGCATGTTGTTAGCTATGTTGAGCCATGTTGGGCTATCTTGAGCGATCTTGGAGGCCATCTTGGGCTCTCTAAGGCCCCCTTGGAGCCATCTTGGGCCAAACATGACCCTCTAATGCCTCTAACGACCCACGACCCCCCACGTCCAGGTCCAGAGCAGGGTGTAGGGGGAGGGGTCAAGCTACCCACCCGCCCGCAAGCCGTCTAGATCACTCCCACCCGCCCTCCCAACACACGAGTAACATCCGAGCATGTTCAGCGGTCGCCTTTGGATGGACAGCTACTGGGAACCAAAGCCGACCCCAGGTGCGCGACGCTTGGGCGAGGTGCGCCACGCGTGCCAGGGGCTCCACGCACGCCAGGCATCCCTGGGGCCCGAGCGTGCCAGGCCAGCCTGGTGCGCCAGATGCGCCACGTGCTCCGAGTGCGCTAGGTGTGCCGCACACTCCAGCCGCGCCAGGTGCGCCACGTTCGGGGCATGTGCAGAAAGCGTCAGGTGCCCCTGCGCACGTGACAGCACACATCGGGAAACATGTTGGCCCCCGCCATCCTCGTCGAAAACCAATGCCCATCATTATGTCTTGTGGGCCTGTGCGCAGCAGGCCACGCGCCACCACCCCCGCCGTCCCTGTCAAAAACCACTTGGCAGTGATCGCGGGATGGCCGCGCGTGATCCAGTTTTTGCCGCGAGGTACTTGTTGTATTGTTTTTTGTCAGGTGTCAGGGATGGTAGCCCTGCGCGCAGCATGGAATATGCTGACACCTCCGCCGTCCCTGTCAAAACAGTACAAAGTGCTCGCGGGCCTCACGAACATGGCTCAAGACTTTGCCCGAAAGTGTACTTTGCATTGTTTTTTGACAGTGATGGTGTGGGGGGGGGGCGCATCGGGTTGGCCGCGCATACTCCAAATGTGGAGGCAGAGTGCGGCTTGTATTGTTTTTGTTAACAGATGGGGGGGGGGCGAGCCCGCCGGCCGGGTGGGGGAGGGGGTGTACCTTGATAAGGAGCAGTGGTAAACCCTTCCCCGGAGGGGAAGAAGGGGTAGTGGAATGGAGGAAGGAAGCACATCGTTGGACCGCCTGTCGCCCAGAGGGCTGGCGGGATTCTTCTTAGTTTCTTCCATTTATTATTCTGACTCCTCCTCGTCTTTCGGATGCAACTCCTGGGAGGTACAATTCGGATTTTGCCCTGGTCTGAAATCCGGCTTAATCCAGCTAGATCCCGCTTAATCCAGCTTAATCCCGCTTAAGCTGGCCTAATCCCGCTTCATCCGATGCCCCCTCCAGCGTAAGAGCCCCCGAATGAAGCTTAAACCTCCTGGGTCCTTCCGACGAAGAACTCCCAGTAGTTGCCTCCTAATCGTCTAATTCATCTTCCTCAGCACCCGAGGAGTCTCTCCCCTCCCCTCGCGCCCCCGCGGCTTTGCGGTGGCCTGCGGGGCAGGGAGTCCAGCTCGAAGCTGGCTCTGGCGGTCGCCCTGGCGAAGGACTGGCAGGCCAGCCACGACTGGGGGAGCTGTGGCCCTTGCCCTCCTGGGGGGCCCATCGATTTCGACATCCCTCTCGAGAGATCGTCGATGCGATGGGTTCCCCCAGGGGGGTAAGGACCACAGCTCCCCCAGTTCTGGCTGGTCCGACTGGGGGAACGAACAACGACATAACCATAACAGGAGGTCCGCGCGGATTTCTCGGATCGGCGCTGGGCCCCCCTCTTCGGCGGCGCCTCCGGCGCCGCCCCTGGCGCGCTCCGCGCGCCAGGGAGGGGGGTGGGCCCACCGCGGATCCGCGACATCCGCGCGGAGCGCCAAGAGTTTGTGGCTGTGCAGCTGTTTCTGCTTCTCGAAGGACGACCCCTCCATCCTCGCCCAGCTGCGGAGGGCTTACCCGATGTTTTACTCGCTCTGCATGACCGTCCAGCCCACGGCGGGAGCGGGTGCCCGGCCTGGACGTCCGGCGCCCCGAGGGGAGGAGGAGGAGCAGGAGGAGGAGGAGGAGGAGGAGGAGGAGGAGGAGGAGGAGGAGGAGGAGGAAGGAGGAGGAGGAGGAGGAGGAGAGGAGGAGGTATGGGGGAGGAGGGGGGAGGAGGAGGAGTGGGAGGAGGAGGAGGAGGTACGGGGAGGAGGTCGGGCCGCCTGACGCCTTGGCCTCTCGTCGTCCCCCCCCCCCCGCGCGCGGCATTCGGCGACCGCAAAGGGTATGGTTACGCTGGGGTGTGGTTTGCGATCGGCACTGTTGGGGCCTGGGGAGCACGACACAGTCCTCGTCGGGCCGCCTCGTTGCGTGGCGGAGAGCTATGTCGAGGTCATCGCCCGCGGTCCAGGGTGCCCCCCAAGGGTGCCAGTTGCAAACCACACCCTTTGCAAACCACACCCTTCGGAGTCGCCGAGGGATGGGGCGATGGCAGCGTCGTTCAGGGTGCAACCCCTGGGATGGAGCAGTGCGTGGAGGAGAGGGCGGGAAAGAGAAGATGAGGAGGAGCAGGATGGCAGAGGACGGAGGACGCAGGGCGGAAATCGCAGGGTTAAGTCGGGCGTGCCCCTCTACAACAGGAATATTCAAAACTAGTAAAACACAGTCTGGGGACGATTTCTGATTTCCGATTTTTTGGTATAGACATGATATTACTTTGAGCATATGTTGTGAATTTTACCGTCCACGATCCGCCTGTATGGGGGACGTGCCCGACCTAATCGCAGGGCGGAGGGCGGAGGGCGGAGGGCGGGGTAGCAGTAGGACGAGGAGGATAATGAGTAGCACGAGGAGGAGCATGAGCAGGAGCAGGATGCGTCGGCGCTGTTGTTGTCCGTGGCCGAAGGCCAGGCTGAGCTGGCGCAGTCCCGATGTTTTCCACTCCGCGTGGTCCCGTTTCGTCCGGCCTGATCGGGCTTCATCTGGCCCGAGTTGGCCTAGTGGCGCCTTGATCGGGCTTGATATTGGTGCTGTAGCTGCACTATTAGTGCTACAGTAGAAACTTCTTCCTGGCGGGCATGCTGCAGCCGCGACATGGCCTGCGCTTCGGCGAAATCGCAGACGACGCTTTGGTTGGGAAGGATTTGGGGCGATGGGTGATCTTACTAATGAAGCGCCCAGGTTTCGAAGGATTTTGGGCTAGGATGGATGTTGCACAGAAGACGCCTGCACTGGTAAGGACTTTGGGGTTAGGAAGGGTTTCACATAGAAAACGTTTTGGTTGGGACGCATTCTGGAGCCATGAAGTGTTTTACACAGAAAGCGCTTTGGTTTTGGGGCAGGAAGGACTTGGCACAGAAAACGCTTGGGCTGCACAGGATTTGAGGATTAGACCGGATTTTATACAGAAAGCGCTTTGGTTAGGAAGGGTGTTGGGCGATGTTTGGCTTTGGCAAAGAAAGCGCAAGGGCTGGGAATGATTTTTGGGCAGGGATGGGTTTTACACAGAACGCTCGGGCTGAGAAGGATTTTGTGGTCGGGAATAGTTTTGAACAGAACACGTTTTGGTTGGGAATGATGTTGGGGTTCGGCAGTTTTTTGTAGAGATAAGAGAAAACGGTTATTCGTTTCGGAAGGATTTTGAGGTTGGGAAGGGTTTACACAGTATTCGCTTTGGTTGGAACGGATTTTGGGATCAGGACGGGTTGTAAATCGAATCAGCTTTGGTTGGGACGGATTGTGGGGTTCGGAGGAATGTTGCACTGACAAACCGTTGGGCTGGGAAGGAATGCGGGGTTCGGACGGATTTTGCGCAGAACATGCTTGGGCTGGGAGTGATATTGGGGTTGGGGGTGTGCATAGGCCACGCTTGGGTTGGATCGGGCTTGAGGGCTAGGGAGGAAGGAATTTAAGCAGAAAGCGCGCTGGCCGGGTAGAAGTTTGTGGTTAGGACGGATTTTACATAGACAACTTTAGCATTGGGAAGGATGTTGGTGCTAGGAAGCGCTTCACAAAGAACACGCATGGGCTGGGACGCATGTTGGGGTTACTATCAATTTGAAGCAAAAGACGCTTTGGAAGGGCAGGATTTTTGAGCTAGGACAGAGTTTAAACATACAGTGCTTGGGTTGGGACGGATTTTTGGGGCTTGTACGGGTTTTAACGCTTGGGCTGGGCTGGATTCTGGAATTAGGAAGGGTGTTGCACAGAACACACTTTGACTGGAACTTGTTGTGGGGTTAGGATTGGTTAGATATAGAAAGAAACCATGGGGTTGGGACTGATTTTGGATTTGGAACGGATTTCTAGACAACGCTTGGGCTGGGAATGACTTAAGCGCTTCGATTGAGAAGGGTTGTGGGCCAAGAAAGGAACGTGCACAGAAAGCACTAAGACTGTGACGGATGTTTGGACCATGAGTTGTTTTACAATGAACAGGCGTGGGTTGTGACGGCTTTGTGGGCTAGGAGGGAAGTTCCACAGATACTGCTAGGGCTGGGACGGATTGGCGAAGACGGCTCTGAGACGAGATTCACATATTCCGGCAGTAGGGACATACCCCTTCCGCACGTGTGTGTATGTTTGCGTGTGTGTTCAGTACCTGTTCCTGCGCTCCATGTCTTCTCAATCCCATCGCCGAGTGGGCTCAGCGTGGCTTATCGATGCCCGTCATCAGTACCAACGTATGGGTGACATGGACGCTCGTTCTTTGAACCCTTTCTCCCTATCCACATCCGGAGGCGAGAAAGCACCCCGACAGCGCATTGGGAACGGTGTGGAATTCCAGGGCGTGCTGGATGCCGTCTGGAGGCCGTCCTTGAGCCCTGAGAAGGATGGTACCGCAGCGGGCGGCGGAGTGACGGAGCCCGTTTGGAAGGGGTAGTGGGGGGGGGCTGGCGTTAAGTCGGGCGTGTCCCTCTACAGGAGGCATTTTCAAACATAGTAAAACATTAGTTTGGGGACGGTTATATATATACATATATATAGATATGTTTGATCATTTTTGGAGCACTTTTCATTTTTCGTCCAAAGTCCGCCTGTTGGGGGACATGCTCGACCTAAGGCTAGCGCTCTGAGAGGAATCCTCGCAGTCAAAACCCACGCGCTCCTCAGCCTCGTGGGTGGGCGGATTCAAGGGGCTTGCGCCATCTCGTTAGCCTCAAAGAGTACGGGGCTAGAATACATATATATATATATATACACCACCACCACCTCCCTCGCCCCCTCCCCTCTCCTACGAAACAGGAGGGGAAGAGGAGGGCAGAGGAGGGAGGAGGAACAGAGGTGGTGGTGGTGTATATTCTTGGCGCCCGCACAGAGGAGGATACGTGCGGCTTCCGACTCCGTGCGTGTTGCTTGCCGCTTCCGGTCGTGCTGCCTGCGTGCAGTTGCTACTGCGCTGTCTTCCTCTTCCCTCCGCGTGTCCCCAGCTTCAGTGCTGCCTCCCGCTGCCACCAGTCTACTCAATGCCCCCAGCTGTTCCCGACCTCGCTGCTGATCCACTACGGGGCCCGAAAGTATACCACCACTACTTCCCCGTCCCCATTCCCCTCCCAGGAACGAGGAGGGGAAGAGGAGGACCTGAGGAGAAAGGGGGAATGGAGGTGGTGGTGGCGTATATTCTTGGGACCCGCATCCACAGGGTTCACCCCGCAGGTTGCGCCCCAATGATAGCACCCCGCAGCGCCGTAACACTCGGCTGTTTGGGGCCCATCCGCCGCGAGGCTCACACGTGACGTCGCGCTGGGTTGATTTTAGTATGCGCCGGGGCGAGAGAAAAAGAGAGAGAGAGAGAGCGAGAGAGAGAAAGAGAGGAAGAGGGATAGAGAGAGAGATAGAGAGAGAGAGAGAGAGAGAGAGAGCGGGAGCGACAAGGCAGGGCATGGCAAGGCACGCGCGCAGGGAGGGTCGCGCGAGGCGCGCCTGCGGGCGATGGCGAGCAACTCCAGGAAGGGGTCGAGTCAAGGAGACGCGTGTGGGTGGAGGTGGTGGCTGCGCAATGGCCTACAAGTCCCGAGCTGATCAGCACGCACCGTGATCGCGACGACGCTGACGACGACGCATGGTCAACGGGGAGGAGGAGGAGGAGGAATCTGATGATGATGATGCTGATGATGATGATGGTGGTGGTGATGATGATGATGATGATCATGATGATCATGACGACGATGATGATGCTGATGATGATGATGAGGAGGAGGAGGAGGACCAGGAGGAGCAGGAGGCGGAGGAGGAGGAGGAGGAGGAGGAGGGCAGGGGCCTGAAATGCACCCCGTCAGACCACATTGGACGGCGGCGATATTCTGCCCCAGGTCACCTTGGATCAGGAGGAATGATGAGGAGGGGAATGCGATAGGGGTAGGGGGATGAGAAGGACGGGGGGGGGAGGAGGAGGGGGGGAAGGAGGAGGAGGAAGGAGGAGGAGAAGGACGAGGAGGAGGGGGAGGACGAAGATGAGGACGGGGAGGATGACGACGATGATGGTGCTGATGGCAATGCCGATTACGATGATGATTACGGTGGTGGTGATGATGATGATGAGGGTGATGATGATGCTGATGATGATGCCAATGATGACTGTGACCATGATGATGCTGATGTTGACGATTGCGATGGCGATACCGATGATGCTGTTGCTGATGATGATGATACTGATGGTGATGCTGCTCTGCTGTTGCTGATGATGCGGATGCTGCTGCTGCGGATGATTGTGGTTTTAGTGGTGATGCCGATGATGCTGCGTCTGATGATGAAGATGGTGGTGCTGATGAATGAGAGGATGCGGATCATAAGGATGCTGATGATGATGCTGGTGATGGATGATGCTGATCATGATGATACTGCTGATGTTGATGGTGGTGGTGATGGTGAAGGTGATGATGATCAGGATGATGGTGATGCTGATGATGACGACGGCGATGCTGTTGGTGATGAATATCACGATGATTATGATGATGATGCTGCTAAGTGTGATGGTGATTTGATTGTGATGGTGATGATGCTGCTGCCGCGGC